CCAAAAAGTAAATGTTTCATTTTCTCCAAGGGGGGGGTATTACATTTTTTTTTCCAATTATTTTTAACATAAGTTTCCTAGAGACATGGTAACCTCCATTAAAGGGGTCATACTAGATTTTAGACATTATTATAAAATATCCCAAAAAAATATTATATCTATATAAAAAAATGAGTAAATATAAATATGGACATATTATACACCAATCAAAAGAGGGTACAATTCTAAGCATATTGATTAACACCTTATATTTATATCACTTTTCATTTCAACAAAAATGTGGATGCAATTTTTACAAAAAGTAAATCTTCACTTTTTTCAATACCAAAAAATCTAAAAAAATATTTTAAGACTATAATTTCACCCTGTTAACAAACAGAGAGCTCATACTAAATTCTGGATAATATATAAAATAATATATAAATCTTACAAAACACCACCAATAGAAATCCATCATAATAGTAAGACATATTCCAATCTTAAAACAATTAGCTTAAAATTTAAAGATAAACAAGAAAAATTAAAGAATTAATAATAGAAATCAATTTTTGTAAAAATTACAATATTCATCTAATATGAAAATATTCCATATAATTAAAAAATCAAGTAATGTAGTTATTGAAATGAATTCTCAATAGCATAATTAACATCTATTACAATCAATTCAAAATCTACGAAGTCCTAACTTCTATTTTACAGAAATGCACAAGATACTTTTATCGATTTTTCAGTATATAACTTAAAGTAAGAGTAATAGAAATTCATTATTAAAAACAATGAACTGCAATTATCATATTAAAAATCCAATAACTTTGATATGTATAGCCACCCACAAATGCTAAAGGAAACTTTGTGTTAAATGTTTATATGATCATGGAGTGGAGATCAAAAAAACTGTTCCGATTGAAGAATTTCAAGAAATGGTGATCCAGAAAATAAAAGACTCTAGGCTTGATGATACATCAGAGTTAACCAAATAAAAAATGGCTTTTGAATCAATGCTGTCTCAAATCGAGAGTACGATAAAGAAAATTTGGGAAGAATTATCAGAATCAATCTAATAGATATATGATATAATTGAACAATAAGATAAATCATATATTAATCTCATCAACTAGAATACAAATCTTCTTGAAACTTCATATACAGAGTTAGAGTAATTAGTACAAATATTATAAGGAAAAACATTAAATGATTGGAAGGCTTAGAAAAAAATTTATTTGACTAAGTTGGAAAAGGCAAAGACTTTATGGGGCTCAGAAATCAAGTCATTTAATGAAAAAATAAAGAAAGAAACAAATAAGATTTTTTCTTAGCAATTTAACCCCTCTACTGCTTTAAAGCCTATATAACAAGAAGCCGAAGTATATAAAATGAAGGAAGACCTTTATGAGATGCTCACTTACATCCAAGATATTGATGAAACTATCTATACAAAGATTCTTGAAATATTAAGAAGAGAGAAAGTTTCAGACATCCTTGAATTTCTTAAAAAGGCAAACACTAACCTCTATGAATAGTTAATCAACAAGCAAGAGAACATAAACGAAGTAAGCAAGAAAATTAAAAAAATAACTAATGTATTGGGAAATATCAAGGATCATAAATTTAATAAAGATGACTATTCTTCAGAAACTTAAGAAAAGACAAGAGAATATCTAATAAAGAGGATGAAGGACAAAAAGGGGATCATAGATTTTATCAAGTTTTTAGTACTCCTCACAAGTAGAGATGATCAATTCATTTAAAGTGGGTCAAATGGATTAAACTTATTAGTAGGCATGAAGGTGGATCTCAGGAAATAGTCTTTAGAGAATATTAGGATAAAGAATACATCTTTAATTGGAGGTAACTTTGTTAGATGCAACTTGAGTGGATCAGAGTTTGATAATGTAGATATAAGTGGAATGAATTTGAATGGTACTTAACTATTCAATTGTAAGTGGAAGAACATAAAAGTCCATGAATTAAATAAGTTGGATGGTCATAGTAGTTGTGTAAATTCAGTCTGTTTTTCTCCTGACGGAAATACATTAGCTTCTGGTAGTTATGATGACTCTATCCGTCTATGGGATGTCAAAACAGGATAATAAAAAGCCAAATTAGATGGTCATA